AATGAACATATCATTTTTGTTTATGATTGATTTCATCATGATTCTTCTGTTAAGCTTGGAGAGTAATTATACATTGTTATTGCTCAGTCGAATAGTGTTATAAAAGCACTAGAGAATTCCTGTGAGATATCTTTAATCATTTCTAAGATACAACAGTTCAGAGCTTAATTTAACAATTAGACAATTTTGCTGTTACACCCTGTGTTTGTGTATGTATGTATGTGTGTGTGTATATATATATATATATATATATATATATATATATATATATTATTATATTAAATAGAAGGTAGAAAAATATTTCCATTTACTTTCAACTTGAGTATTGGGGAAATCTGAATTCTATTTGAAGTCCTTGTTAAAAGTGAGGACACAGTGTCTGTTCTAAATACACATTATCTAGGTTGCTGACTTAAGGATATAGAATTGAAATGCACTCTAAAATTACATTTTATCAAACCACATCCATATCCTGTATGTTTCAAAAGGAACCATGAAGAATTTTTGGAAATTAAGAACATATCTACTTTCAGCAACTTTTATACCATCTATGGTAGTACTAATATACCATTTATTATAATTGTATAAAAAATCAGTTTAGCTAAAAGTACTTGAAACCAACAAACTTTTAGACAATTTTTGCATTCATTGAATCAAAAGACACTTTTATGTATACAAGAAAAGCAATGAAAATCTAAACAAAAGTTACTTATCAGTCTTGTTCACTGAAACCTTTATTAAAGAACGGTCGCTGCCCAAATGCATATGGAATTTAAAGGTTGTAGGTTTGATATATATTGTAAGTGGGTGTGTATTCATATGTAAACAAAGAAGAATTATGCAAAATCTTGGATTTCTACTACAGACTATTCTCTCTTTAGGTGTTGCGGTGGGTATAACCATCATTATAATGGTTGCACTTAAGTCGGCTTTTTGCAAATTTAGAATGCCCAAAGAAAAGCTTGTAGTTACTTCATTGTTGGAGGGTTTGAGCATGGTTATGGTATGTCCATTTTCTTTTTCTTTGTCCAGAAGTTAGGGTAAGTAAGGATAAGCCTCATTATAAAGGTTGAGTTCAAGTCAGTTTTGTGCAACATTGGAACAACCAGAGGAAAATTTATACTTACTTCATTGTTAGAAGTTTAAGCATAGTTATAATGGTTGAGCTCAAGTTAGCCTTGCGCTGAGTTGGAACAACCAAAGAAAAAGTCGATTTAGGTGAAGATTTTGGAAAACGTACAAACACCATGCATTGAAAAATAGAAAAAGTTCAGTCATCGGTGGACCAGTTAAATGAACATGCTCTAATGGGGACATAATATCCACATTGTGCTACATCTTGGAGAAAGAAAATGAGGAAAAATGTTTTTCTTTTTATAGATTGGGCTTATTATACAGTGATTATACAATGCCACTTAACAGTGACAAAGTCAAGTAGTGTAATTATATTTTCAGTTCCTTTTAATACTAGCATCTTGGGTAAAATGTATTTTTCTTTTTTTTAATTATTCATTTTATTTCATTTTCTCCCACATGTCCAACCAAAATAACATACCTATATACATATTACAAATATGTATATGAATATGTTTAGTGAAATATTGAGTCAGGAAGATGAATTTTGAATATTTTATGTTTACTATTCATGCTCTATTTTTTAATATTGAAAACTTCTATGTGCTGTGTCCCTTGAGAACATGGGCAATCATGGCTCTCCACAACTTTCTATCCTTTGTAGCTCTTAGCAATATGTCTTTTTATTAGCATTACAAACTTAAGTAGGTTTCTTTCTGTTTCTCTTGCCTTTTTTATGTCCTGCGAGCGTTGAATTTTCCAAGCTTCCTTTTTGCTCGTTGTGTGAACTAGAAATTTCAGCTCTTTTTGATTCTAAGTTTAATTGACTTTTTTGCTTCCATTTATTTTACAACTTTCTTGTTGCTTACATGTTTCTGTAGAACCACATCTAATTGCTTCAAGTTTTCTCTTCATCTGTGAAGAAACTGTCCAAAATTTACTGCTATATAGAAAGACTGATATTCCGTAGCAACTCAGAACTCTGTTTTTAATGAAATTTTTCCTGTTTCTTAATATTTGTTTAGTTTTTGGAAGGCATCTTTTGCTATTCCTATGTATCTTCAGATTTTGGTGTTGCACTTTCCATATACTTTTAAAACAATTCCCATTTATTGTACTTGTTTGATTTTGACAGCTCCAATTTTTGTACATTGTTCAACAGTGTTTTTTTTTTTTTTTTTTTTTTAACAAAACGAAATATTTTTTATTACTATTAATGTTTATATCCATCCATCTATCTATATTCTGACATCACCACCTGAACTGTGAAATTTTATTCACTAATTTTTTTTTATTTTTCCTCTCCCAATAGTAGATAACTTTGCCTATTGTCCAGTTCACACTCCTCCTCAGTCTTTTGAACAAGAGTTAAGACTGAGTTTCCTGTTTCTTTTAAAATGTCCACTTCTCACACTATACTTCTAATCTAACATCTCTGACTGAACACTGAAATGTTATATACTAATTAAGTTTTGTTTGACTTCAAGTCTAAAATTAACTGTTATCTTCCCTGCATAGCCCCAAGAACTTCACTTCTTGCCCCTTTTTTTGCACACACACAGTAAACCTTTACCTCGAGTGGCTCTTAGGCCTTATATTGGATGAACATTGGTGTATATATATATATATTAATGAATATACATAATATCGAACGTCAGTTGCATGACTCAGAGTTTCATACTGTTCTTGCAATTTTCAGGTGCAAATATATTTGCACCTGAAGATTGCATGCTGTCAATGTTAGATATTATGTATATTCATTAATATATACTTATAGCTCTGTTTCATAACATTGAGCACTGTATAACACCTGAGGAAGAAATATATTTATATGCACAAGAAGTATATACAATACATGTATGTAGATTTTTTTTATCCTACCCATTCTTATGGGTCTGTTTTTGGAAATCCTATATACCACTAAATTTTGAATTTCACTATTTGTGCATTCTGGGGTTTCTCTGTATGTGTGTGTGTGTATTGTATACAAATATGACGTAAAAACTGTGACATAAAATAAATTTAGCTTGGCATTTATCCGTACACCTACTTGAATGACACATGACTGAGTTTAAAGTGGGAAACCAGCACAGACGTAAAAAAAAAAAAACGAAACAGAAATTACTTAACCCCGTCAGCACTTACATATTGTGACGTTTCAGGTATGAAGGATTGACAGTTGACACTGATGAGAAAGACACTGCCTGTCTGTGGGGATGGCTTCCTAGAGCAGATTATAATAAAAATACGAAAATAAATATAGTTTTTTACTTTTATCATTCATGTCTTATCCAGTTTCATGGAAGTTTTTAATGGAAACAACTAAGTTATTTGCATGTTCAACTTTAAAAATCAAATTTTAAAAAATGCTATTCATTTTGAATCTAGTCTATTGTGATCTTAAAAATCAGCAATTGCTTTGTTAATGATTTTTATAATTAAATTGCTTAGTTATTTAAAAAATTTTCTCCTTGGAAAGTGGCAACCAAGCTGAGCGTTCTATGATCATTCACAGCTTGGGAGTTAGAAATTTAATTTATCGCCCCCCCCCCTCCACACACACCAAAAAAAAAAAACTTAAAAAAAATTAAAATAGAGAATAAAAAAAAATGACCGAAGTACTTAGCTATTAATTGTCAACTTTTTTTTTTTTTTTTAGCTGGGTTGATTAACGTTCCAACCAATTCACAAAGCTAAGAATTGTTATACCAACTTACTAGTTATTTTTTAATCATTTACACTTTGACTTAAATGTTGTCATTTAGTTCAATAGAATTTTTTGCAACCCGCATCAGCAATGTCGAAATCCTCACTCACAGTATTATTGTACTTTTGTTTTATCGCTAACATTTTTTGTCAATAATTTTGTATGTTAAGTAATGAAAATTTATCCCCCACCCCTTCAAAAAAATTAATGAAAATTTATTGTAATAAACTACACACACACTAAAACAACTGAACTTTGTACTCCTTTCTTTTACCTGTTTGTACTTCTCAAAATTTGGTTTCATGGCTATCTGGATGGACGAGCGGAATAAAAATGGAATTCACAGAACTTTTAGATTCAATCGAAGTAAAAAACGCAACTATAGTTTGTCTTTCTTTGCTTTACATACGATAATATTTTTTTAAATAACCCATTTCATTAGTAGTGTGGAGGATAAAGAAAGTTTTAAACTGCATTCCTTACCAGGTACAAACGTACCTAAAATAACGTCACTGTAGATTCCCGCAAATAGCTACCACAAAAAAAAAAAAATCTGAGTAACTTATGTTTTTTCCCTGCTTTCCTCGTGATTCTCACCCCCACAGGGTCCATCCTTCTTGCCCAATAAAAAAAGAGGGGATGAGTCAGAGGGGGGGGGGCAATTGTCCTCCTACCTGTAGAGGTCAGTAATAAAGTGTGGGTATGTGATATTTCTCCGTCCATTGAAACTAGGGAATATAAAGTTTAAAAGTGGCAGCAATAGTGTATGTAACGACTGTAAGTCTTTTTGATTTGTTTGTAGTACAACGTCATACTTGTTGTCCTTTACGAATTAAGAAGAGAGAAACGAGGATATGAAAAATTATGGTAGGAACCTTAAAAAAGAAAAACACGGACTGAGCAAAACATTAGTTTCCAAGGAATTTTTTGATGTAAATAAGTTCGTTATTTTATTTTATTTTTTATTGAATTTATTTTTATAGAGATTTTTTTTTTTTTATTATCTCTGATCACATTCTCGAAACTTGGGACACAACAACAACAACATCATTTCACTTACATTACAACGTTTCTCACGACTGTTTTCCTGTTGACCGGAAAGAAAACATTTGACTCAAGTGGCTCAAGAAAACGAGCAAAAGATTTTTTTTTTTAAATTGTCATCTTTTACAAATCAGACCATTATTTGTTGGATTTGATTTATCATTTTTTTACAATTATGCCGAAATCATCTTCTGATTCAAATTCCACTGATGAGAAAAATATCAACAATAAGTAAGTTTTTTGTACTCTATAACTCTCTCCTTATTACTTAATCTCCTTAATTATTGTTTATTGTAGCATTGAAAATGTATTTTTAAATATGAGGAATAGTTTGTAAACTTTTTATTTTGAGTTATTTTGAGTGTCACAATGAATCAAAGGAAATTATGTGATTTATTTATTTTCGCGGTGACTAGTGTAATTAGTAGTTTAATCTGCATTCTTTTAGTTTAATTGACGGGTTTCTTTTAAAAAGATTTTAAATGAGTTTTTAATGTATCAATCAAATGTTTTACTTTTTAAAAGGGTTTAATTTCATTATTTGCCACTGGATCGTTTTTGTAGATTTTGTTTGCTTTGCATTTCTTTGCATGACATATGATCACTAAAAATATTACAGGAATTTTGGAAGAAAAAATCGATTTTCTTTTGTCTTCTCGCGAACACAATTGGCAGAAAACTTAGTCACGAAAAAAAAAACATTTTCTCATGGATTGTTTGATTGTGTAACAAGAAAAAATAATGTCTCGATCAAGACTATTTAACAGAACTTCTTTCTTTTTTTTTCTGAATGCCAAATATGAAATTTGTCAGTTTCTTAGGATCTTACTGCTTCTTGATGTTTTTAAAACTTTATAAGCTTATTCGTAGTATGAGATCTGGTAAAAAAAATTAATTTGTTTGTTAACTTGTATTTTTTTTAAAAAGAAATAACATGAAAATAACTATGAAAAACAAAACACGCTAGAAGAAAAATTTCATTCTAGCGTGTTTTGTTTTTCATAGTTTTTTATTTTTTTAATAAATTGTTTGGTATGGGATTGATGATGACAAAAAGCTGATGGTTTTAAAAATATTTAGGGAGTTTCCTTCTTTTAATTTTTCAGTTAAAATCTCAAGATTTGATGAATAAAAAAAATAATTAAAATTAAGTACTAATCATGGACTTTATTTATCTGTTATGAATTGATAAAGAATCTCTTTCGGTTATTCTGTAACAGTGTAAAAACAATTTACCCAATCATTGCAGTTGTTGTCCATTAATTTCCCCACCATCCAAACATTGCAGAAAAATGTCACTTGTTTTAAAATGTCACCGTAAAAAAAAATTGGAAGCAAAAATTATGTAATCGATTTAATTCTAGATTTTTTTTTTGTTTGTGAATAAATTACTTAATAGTGGTTTTCATTTATGTAAGTTTAAAGTCTCTTAGTCTTATGAAAATGCTTTAAATCGGGGTCCAACGTTTTGTTATTATGAGCAATGCGACTGTTTCTTAAAAAGGGTAATTTTTTTTTTGTTTTTTTATAAAAATAAGCTGCCCGAGGATATTTTGTTTTCGTTTAAGTAGAATTATAAGTACGATAAATTAGTTATTCCTACATATTATAACAACACTTATTTCATTAAATAAAAAGCATTAGATACAATTGTTCAAAAAATGCATTGTGTTATTTTTTTTATTTATAAACTGCAGTTAAAAAAGAAAAAGAAAAAAAGTCCAATGGCCCAGAAAGAAAGACAATTTCAGTTCTTATTTTTATTCAATAATGTCTTTATAATAAAATAAGTGACTTTAAGCATTAATTTTCTAACTTTCACAAATTATTTATGAAAGAAACATTATGCTTTTTTTAAGTGAAGTCATTTTTTATGATAAATAACATTTATTTTTGGACCATGTAAGGAAGAGAAAAAGAACATAATTTTTTCTCTATTATTCTCCTTAGGATTTTTTATTGTTATCTGAGAATTCTTTAGAAATGTATACTTAGTGTAACAGTGTAGTAACTACACTGTATAATTAATTAGCAGCAGAAATAAAGATTTTTAATTTTGTTTGTTTCAAATGGGAATTTTGGACGTGATAAAATTTCAATTTAAAACTTTATTAAAAGTTAATCATTTTGCAAAAATCACTTATTTTCGTAATTTCGATCTCCAAATAGTGTAAAATCTTTTGCTTTTCCTATCGAAATCGAAGGTCTATTATCTGAAATATTCGTAAAAAAAAATGGACATGTCAGTGTATGATATAGAAAAAATTATACATTTTTTTTAAACATTTGTTTTTTTTTTGTTTTTTTTTAATAAACATTTAGTTACATACAGAAGGAAAAGAAGTGTATTCAATTGATTGATTGACTTATTCTTACACAATAATCTGGCATGTATTTTGTTGTCGGTGGATCTTTTTGATCTCTGTACGCTTCGCTTCCCTCCTTTCTTTGGAAATAGGGACTTTACGAGTTGGCATTTAGAGTTATTTATTATGTGTAGCCTAGTTTTGACGCCAGGCCACCTACAAGCACTGGCCACCCAGTGAGGATCGACCTTGCTACTCCGTAATAAATGATCTGAAAGACCAGCTTGCTATCCATTACACCACAAACATGTATTTTCAGTGTTAAACAAACCATTAATCCACAACAACATGGTGCTCTAACTGACATTTTTAGTTGACTGACTACCACCTGTTGTAAAGTTGTTGTTTTTTTTTGTTTTTTTTGATGAGAGTCACAAATTCAAAGGTTTTTATATTTATTCGGACCAACAGTAGTTTGTTATAAATTCTCATATATTCTCATTTTTTATACGTTCGGCAGCTTTTTCCTGGAGCTATTTGTCTCAGTCTTGATACGTTGATCATATTTATTTTTTTTTATACATGATTCTGAAATAAGGTAGCTAAAAAAAAAATTCTGTGATTGTAATGTCTTCTATCATTTAACAATCCAAAAACAACTTTGGATTTATTGTAGGTTGTCTAAAACCTGCAATCCATTAAAGATTAGCTAAAAAGCTTTTATTGATTTCACTCTTCTTAGTTGAAGACTTTTTATAAATTTGGCTACTTTTTTTTTTAAGTTTAATTTGATTCCAAAATTGTATTTTAACCCAATCTTCTTGGCATCAGTTCACTTTAAAATGACCTTTTTTCCTTATATTTGATAATTTTGCTTAAAGTTTGTATTTTGATGTTTGTGTGGGGAGGCGAAAAAGCATTAGTTTAATGAAATTTAAAATGTTTTTATTTAAACTTTAAATAAAAACATTTTACTGTAAATTTCAGTATAGGCTTGAATTCAACAGATATAATTTGCTTTGAATAAATTTTCTACCATTACTCAATATTATAATGATTTAAATGTATCTTAAAATACTCTTCAAAGCATTTGTGAATTACCAAATATTTGAATGTAATGTTTGTGTAGCATCTGAAAATATCTCAACACAAGTAATGGGAATTTAAAGAAATCAGAGAGCTCTATATAAAGAGTGGCATGTGAAGAATTTAATGAAGAACAACAATTACTTACCCTACATCATTCTGGTATCAGTTTAAACTGAGGCTTTCTCTTTTCCATATATCTAAACTATAATTATAAACTAACATTTTGGAAAGTAAAAATATCACTGTTGGAAAAATTTCAAGTTTTCATATGAAATCAAGGAAAAATAAGCTTTAAACAAAATGGTCACAAACATTAAAAAAAAGTGTCAGTTTAAAGTAAACTGAAGCCATGAGAGTATAGGTTAAACCCATTTATATGAATGACCTTATTCACAAGCTAAAGGACTTATCAGGTTTGGAGTCTGGGTTTTTTCACCAATTTTTTTTGTTTAGTTTATGTTGCATTCAGTTGTCTACAGAAATTATTTTGTACTGATTTTATCTGTGCAACTTTTAAATATTGCTTGATGCAGCATGCATCTGAGGAATGCTGGAAAAGGTATCAGACAAAACCTTTTTATAGAAAGAATGCTTAAGATACTTGTCTAAAAAATGTATGGAATAGAAAAAAGTGCATTTTACATGCTACAAAATATAGTACTTCAAATACTATTTATTTTGGTGATTGTTTTAATTAGTCACTTGTATGCAATGTGTTGAAAAATTGAACAAAAGGGCTCAACTTTTAACTCTTAAAAACTCTGTCAGGAATCGTTTCAAGTGAATTTTAAAATAAATTAGTATAAATTTTAATTATCATTACTATTAATACTCTAAAAATAAATATTTAAAAAATGTAAGAAACTTACATCTTTTATTAATTAGTCCTCTTTAACAGATACAATATTAAAACCAATAAATACAAATACTAGTAAGGTTTTTGATTTGTACTTTTATTTTAGATGTGTTCTAGTGGGTAGTGCTGTTTAATTTGGCAAGAAACTTTAATGGACAAGAATGAGAATGTACCTTAGTTGTTTTTAGTTTTTATCAATCTCATTTTTCTTGACACTTATATATTGTACCAAATAAATAGTATTTAAGGTGTGGTTATTAGAATTGTATATATTTTCTCTCTTACTATCCTGGCAACAACACACCTCTTGTCAGCCATATTTACAAAGCTTGAGGTTGTCTGGTAATTATTGAGGTCACTTGGACTCCCTCCATAATTTCTCATGCTTTTTTTCATAATGGCAGTTCACATAAGTGAAGTGTCAAAATAATGGGAGAAGTTTGGTTACATCTGAGAAATGCCAGATTTTATTTACATTGCATCTTGTTTATTTGTTTGGGTATAGTAAGACCTTTTGAGAAAAAATCTGAGATTGTTTGTTTCTGTCTTACTTATTGAATTTTTTTTTTTTTTAGTCATTTTTGAACATGTTAGCTGAAGATCACTGTACATTCCAATTAAAAAGTTGTTGCTACAAAACAAATATTTTCAGAGGTAATACAATTCTCAGAGGATGTTTACTTTGTAAACAGATAAACAAAACCAAAGAAACTTACTCACAAAAGGACTCTTTCTCACTGTCACTTTCTGATGTGTGCTGAGAGCTTGGGTAATTGATAATCAAATTATATACATGTGTTATTGTGTTATTTACTAGCATAGTACCTCTAAAAATGACTGGACTATTGGATCAACACTTCTACCTAAGAACAAAGTGTTTGTGTACTTTGCCAAAGGTCAAAGACCTCTGTATGTCAGCCTATAATTATATCATTGTATATAGAATTCAATAGTGCTGGGCATGATGATAAATTACATCTGGTAGTAAGGCCTCTGATTAGGAGATTGGAGGTTTTGAGGAGCATGAAACCAACTTTTAATTGCTGTTGCTCCCAAGTTCACCCTGACCTGGGGTGGTAGCAGCTGTTAGTCCCAGCTGTGGGTAAATAATGAACCTCCACCCCCAAACAAAAATTAAAATATTAGGAAGGTATAAAAATACATTTTTGTACTTAAAAACAAAAAACGGCAATACATTTTTATAAAACAAATTACGAACAATACATTTTATCATCTACAAATTATATATCTAAAAAAACATAAATTTGCCCTGAAAGTATAAAATTATGTACAAAATATCTGTAGCTGAAGGCATAAAGTTGCATTCAAAATTTTTAGATTTCAGTATTAAATAACCCATAGAGGTTGATATGCTGCTAAACATAAACCAAACCTAATTCAATGTAGGCATAAGTGATTTTGTTTTGTTTTGGGGGTTGTTTTTTTTTTTTTGTTTTTGTTTTTTTTCTTATATTGAGGTAGTGAGAAGTTTCCAGTTCTACCCACTTTTCAAAATCTAACCAAATGATAAGTTTTTTTTGTTGTTTGTTGTTTCCTTGGTTGGTCAGAGAACATTTCAACACCTCCTTGTAATTAGCTGTTTATATAATAATTCATGATGTTATGCCCTATTAAACAAGTAGATCAAAATTTTTATTTACTATAATGATTACATTTGTAGTTACTACAAATTCTCATGTTAAGGTTGGGCAAGTTGTATTTAAATACTAAATATTTACATAAGACTTCACCTTTTCTTTATCACTATTTTTACTGCTCTTTCACTACCCCCTGACTTTAGTTGTTTTCTGCACTGATAAACTAAATTTCTGGGAAACAGATTTGATGTTTAAACACCAATCTTTTACAGTTTTGTTTTTATCTAAAATTTGAGCAAGCTTTTACATTAAGTCTGCATACTATACATTGAATATAAAAAAAAAGGTGTTGTCAGTGTTCAGGACTGAGGAATGCATTACTGTTAATAGAAGTTTTATATGTATATTTTATATTTATATGCAAGTCTTTTTTATGCCATTGTAACTTATTTACTTTTTTTTTCTTTAACAGGGAAAAAATGCCCAAAAAACATTCCCGAATGTCGACCATTCCAATGGTCAATCGACAGGCAGTGGAAATTCTGGAAGAATTTCTGAAAAAGCACCAAGAAAGTCTGAAAGACATTACTCCAATGAATTCACTTTATCAGAAAGTCTCTGAGCTGGAAGTGAACGAGGAAAAACCAAATTTGAGACGCAACCAGAGTTACCGTGCTGCTTCACACGAATCATTGCTTAGCAATGAAAATGAATCTTTCCAGAACACCTTGTTTGAAGAAGAACTTAATACCTACACGGCACCCCTTGCCAGTGATGAAGCTTCAGATTCAACAGTTGAATCTCCAGTGTCAGCCCCTGAGGCCACTTACTACAAAAGAAAATCTAGTGCTGACTCGTCAAGCTCGGACAGTTCTGAATGGGCCTCTGAGAAGCGGCACAAGAAGAGTTTCTTCAAGCGAGCTCGGGAAAGGTTGAGAATCACCCTTAAGATTGCAAAGAAAAATAAAACAGAACGTGAAGAAAAGGAAGAAAAACATTCACACAAAAAAAAACGGAAAAAAGGAAAGAAAAATTGTAAAAATGGTAAAGTGTTGAGTGAAGTAACAACTGTGACTAAGACACATATCCGCCAGTCATGTACAATGTCTGATATTCCGTTCCAAAATTCTGAAATAACATTGCGACAAGGTGAGGTATGGGAATCAAAGGACATTAAAAACAAGTCAGGCTCTTTGAGGCATGTAAAGGCCCATTTGAAAGTCAAAGAAAGTACTGATTCTAGTAACACGAACAGATTAGCCAATTCCTTCAAAAGGCTGAAATCACTCCACCGAAGTGGGAGAAAGTCACTCTCTTTAGGACGAAAAGGTAAGTTCTTTTATACTAGACTTTAAAAAAAATTATTTTGGGTTAGTTAGATCTTTTGGTACTGATTAAAGTTAAATAGATTTTGCAATTATTAACAATTGACAACTATTAGATCTGTCCCATAATTGTTGTTATACTTGCATACACATTTCATACATTAAATGAAAACTATTATGGGACAATAATTTTATTTTATCTGCTCTGTATTTAACATTAGTTAAATTATAGAACGGATAAAATTTGGAAAAGAAATCTATTCATTTGAGCCTGTTAAAGCAATGCAGCACAAAATCCTTGGATTTTTGACTGACTAAAATAGATTGTATTGTCAATCCTTTGACTCTTAAATACAAACAGCTGAAGTGTATTTCTTCACAACTATAATGTACTAAACTTTAGCTTGGTATAGTACCAGAGTAATTGGTTACTCTGTGAGGATTGAACTATATATACCAAACATTTTTGTCTGTAAAACTGTGAATCAGTCTGTGGGACAGGTTTGCTGTCGGTACAATTTTACTCTAGTAGATAAATCTTATAAGTATTTAAGTCAACTATTGGGCCACAGGCAGATGCACAGCAGTGTAATGGATAGAGGATTGGAATGAGAAAGCAGAGCATTTCATTTACTTGCAAATAGCCTTGGAAAAGGTATGAATCCATCAATTCTCTCCTTAGCTATGGGTAAATAGCAGGATAGAATGACCCCTATAGCCTTGATTGGGAACCAGTGTAGAAGGAAAACTCTGAATTCAAACCAGCCTGTAGAGGGTTGGGCTCCATCAGGCTAGCTTACCCAATGCTACGGCTGCAGTACATGTGGTAGCCCTATGATCCTAATGGGTTACAGGATTCATGATCTTGACTGGGCCACAGTAGAAATAAGTTTGCAAATCCTTTACAAATAAGTTTTTTTTTTTTTTTTTTTTTTTCTGTTTTTTTGGTTGATGTTTTTTTTGGGGTTTTTTTTTTAACCTTATTTTTAAATATGCAAAAAGATAGATTTTCTCTTGGCTTATGGTCACATCATGTTGAAACACTGGTTCATGTACAACCACTGAAATTTAGCGACATTGAGCCTGATCAGTACGTAGATGAGTGACTGTTTGAGAATACCAGGTGCTGTAAGCTTGGGCATGTGGGTGGTGTAATGGATAATGGCCCCAATTCCCATTGGGTTCATTATATTCACTTATGCACAAATACCTTTGGGAAAGGTATAAATCCACAACTTCTTCCCCCAGTTAATTAGTAAGACCTGTATCACTAAACCATTATTATCTCCAAAAAATAAAATAAAAATTTGCTTACAAAATATTTAGATTTTAGCATTAAATAACCCATAGAGGCCGATATGCTGCTAAACAAAGACAACCAACCATCAAACACTTTTTCCTTAAATCTATACACGAGATTTTGTTAAAAAAATATTCCACCAATTTCTAAGTCTTTATTGTTTGTGACATACCATTCACAGATTGGAGTATTAAAGGTAACAAAATTTTATATCTTATGACACTAAAAGTATCTAATGTTAAACAAATCTATTATTTTAACTTGTAATGATTTTACTCTTGTGCCTATTAAAATAATCTAATATTAAGCAAGAGAAGCCAAAAAACCCATCAACAGTGAAGTTAAATGATGACAGCCAAAGAGAATAGAAGTAAAGAGAGAAAAAAATCAAATAAAGCCAACTTTTACTTTTGATACTAATCTTGGATTAAGTTGAACATAATTTTGTGATTAATGACAGCTAACTCTAGTATTGTCAAACTTTTGACAGCGAAATCAGAAGATTCTTGTAGAAAATGAGAAGAACACAACATAATGAACATATATATTACTGTAAATAAAATCTCTTGTCAACCTGGCATTGTTCATTGCAGACTCTCAGAAGGAGAATAAAATACTTTGTATGTGTAATGGGATTGGCTCAGCTAATAGGTAATTAGCATAAAGAGAGCTATAACTATAGCTCACAGGCAACTTTGAGTTAGTGTACATAGAATATCTACAGTTACTAAGTTTGATCATCATAACAAAATGGTGTCATCTGGCATAGCTCTGTTGAACACAGAAGAACCTGAAAATGTAAAGATTTGGATAAAATGCTTTGAGGCATGTGCCAGAAAAAAGGAGTTACAAGAGGACAGAAATCATGGATTTTTTTTTATTTTGGGCCACTGCAGGATGTGAAGCCATTAGTCAGATTTCATTAATGACTTACCCAGCTGACATTGAAAATTTGACATTTAAGGAAGTCAAAGAAGTAATATTGAGAAATATTCAACTAAAGAAAAGATTGGTCTTGGTCGAATGAACCAAATTCTTAGCATTGAAACAAGAATTTGGAGAGCCTATAAGGAAATATCTAAGAAGATTAAGAGATGCCAGCAGATATTGTGAATTTCATGAACTAGGACATGGAGTAAGCACAGAGGAAGAATTAATTCAACTCTGTACATCACCTCTCATTGAGTAAAAATTTTAGAGCAGTTACAGATAAACCAAATAACTTTAGAAGCTTGTATTGACTTCATACAACAAGAGTTAATTGAAAAATTTAATACTAATGAAAACCAACTTGAGCTTATGGACACATGTACAATAAAAGGGGTCTGTATCAGCAATTTTATCCCCGGAAGGACACCTGGTAATGTATCTTTCCAGGACATTGACATCGGCTGGATTGAACTATTCTAATATTGTAAAGGAAGCACTTGCGATTGTATGGAGTATGACCAGAGCAAGACAATTTTTATTAGGAAAATTTTTGTTGATATGATCATAAGCCCTTAGAATTTATATTCCATCCTAGGAAGTTAGATCATCCAGAATATTAAGATGGGCTATGAAGTTAATGGCTTTTGATTATGATATAGAATATGTGAAGGGAAACGTGATACCACATGTAGATGCATTGTCCCAACTACAATTTGAAAAGGAACAAAACAACAAAAAAAAAAACATAAAAAAAGTTGAGGATGAATTTTTGCATTCAGTGGAAACTTATGTGTTGCCCATGAATAGACTAGTTATGGAGACATTACAAGATCCATTCTTAAGTCGAATTTTATCTCGAATAAGGAACAATAAGCCGAGTAATTGTTCAAAAGCAGAAAGACCATGCAAAGAAACCAGACACAAACTATCAATAGAAAATGGTCTAATTTTAGTGGGGATTTAGTCGTACCACTAGAAAAATGTAGAAAAGTAATTAAGTGTACATGATGATGTGCATTGTGGGATAACCGCTACACAAAAACTGTTAAAACTGTAAGCGTGGTGGCCGGGGCACACAAGAGACATGGAGAATTATGTGTGCAAATGTACTGAAATAAAAATTTTTGCCACAATAAGTTGCACTCTTGACCTAAGGAAGTAGAACCCTGGTCTAGAGTTCATATGAATCACGCACAAGTTAACGAAGTAGGTTTATATCTAATACTGGTTGACACTTTTTCCACCTGGCTTGAAGTTTTCCGAGTTCAGGAAAAACTGTAAAACAAATATTATGCATAATATTTGCTAGAAATGGAGTACCAAAAAAACATTAACCGATAATGGTCCTGAATTCTGTGACAAAAGTCTATGCTTGTGCTTAAGGGAGATTGGTTGTGTTCCATATGAAACACCTCCCTACCACCCTCAATCAAATGGGATTGCTAAACAAATGGTCCAAAGATCGGATTGAAAGCATTTTTTTCTCAGCAAGAAAAGTTTGAAACTTTTCTACCAAGATTATTGTTGAGAACAATACTACATACTGAGAGATGAGAGCCTGTCTGCATTAATAGACAGACAGATTAGAACTCCATTAATAATGTCTTACTCTGTTAATGAAAACATATGGTACAAAAAAATAAAGAAAACAAACTAGAAAAGGTGAATTTCATAATGCAAAAAGGATACAACACGCCATTAATATGCCAGAATGGTAAAAATATTGTTGCCCATGCAGACCAGTTAAGAGCAAACCAAAATTATGACAAAGTACAAAGCAAAACTAGTTCGAATGACTATGTAGATGAACAAGAAAGCAGAGCAAAAGAATCAATGGATGATCAGTTCTTCAGAAGACTCAGCGTATGAAACATGGAAACTGAGAGTAAAGAACTAGATCAAGGTCCCCCCATAACAAGAAATACTTGTGAAACCAGTGAGAGAAGGAGAGAATGTAGGAGAAGCCATAGATCTATGCAGGGCATGAAAGCAAAAAGATTCAGGGAGATGTAAGTGGATTGGTTTAGCTAATAGCTCACAGGCAACTCTGAGTCTGTGTACATAGGATATCTACGGCTACTAAGTTTGGTCATCAACAGTATGATAAATAAAAACTGAAAGAAAAGTATTTTTAGCACTTAAAAAAATAAAGGCTCAGAGAATATAACTAATAAATCGCTGAACTATACTTCATTTAGACATGAGTTGTGTCAATACTTTAAGAACAAATAGAAATATCAAGACAGGAATAAAGAAGTATTCTTTATTATAATGTTCAATGTTTTAAAAAGAATGTCTTTTGCTTTTAAAGCAACAGTTTTTAATAGAATAAGAGTTACTTTACCCTCAGTTTCTAGAACTAGTGTAAGCAGAATAATGTATCCTTGTGTACGTGAAAAAATAGTGAATGGTCAACAAGAGAGAGAAAAAGAAGAGAAGAAAATGCTCTCTAGCCATTTTATATTGGAATGTCACATGACTGCCCTTTCTAGCAAAAAGGTCAGATAACCTTGAAATTATTAATTTATCTCATTTTTTGTTTATATTTCTCAACTCCTACAGTTTATTTTATTTCTTCAAATTACATTTCTTTCTTAGTGCTTACATTCAGAGTACTCATAACCATTACTCCAATTCTCTACCACTGAGCCATTTCCAAAGTGCAGATTAAATTGTTAAAGTCAACAGTTCCTTTGCTAAAACCTTTTGGATTAGAGGTGTTTTGAGTTACGTTTTCCATCTTCAGAATGCAATCTATCATATATATGTGTTGG